ATACATATACACAAAGTAATACTATACATACATATACACATACATAATGCAATACTATTTAACCTTAAAGAAAAAGAAAGGAATTCTGCTACTTGTGATAACGTGGATGAACCTAAGGGTCATTGTTCTAAGTGAGATAAACCAGGCACAGAAAGACAAATACTGCATAATGTCACTTACATGTGGAATCTAAAGAGGTCAAACTCACAGAAGTAGAGAGTAGAACAGTGATTGCCAGGGGCTGGGGGTGAGAGAAATTGGTTAACAAATAAAATGTTTTAATTTCGTGCATGGGAAAGTGATCTGAGGAACTCAAATCAAGACTCAAGATCAAGGTCAAGTTCAGCTCATGGGGATCGAAAGCTAGAAGAGAAGTAGCTGTTGTTTGTGGCAGGACACTGAGATTTTTCTGCCTCTTGTACTGCTGCCTCAGCCTTTTTTTTCTAGCAACCCTAATCTGACTTGGCCAACAACTGGTGAGGAGAAAAACCTCAAGAATTCAGCTATAAACATCTTTAGTTATTCATTTCCATTCATGTTTTTCAGTTTGATTTGGTTGCCAAGTATCGTATGAAATGAATTCTATGTTTTTTTTTGCTATACTTTTACTAATTTATCCATTGTTAAAATTTAAGGCCACAGCATCACATTATATGATTTCAGAGTTTATGGGTAAACAAAATATTATTTTAGAAAATAAGATTTTAACTTTCTATGTCTAGTAGAATTGAATCGAAGTTACTTATGAAGAATGTTTAACTCATCTTGAACTGTTGTTTTCAAATATTTGTCCCAGGCTTAAAAAATAAAGCATTACAAGTTAAAATTGTAGGAAGTCATCAGAAGACTTACCCTTCTCTTATGCCAGGGAGAAGAGGAGTTGGTTTCTTCAGTTGTGGAGTAACATCGTTGGATAATTTTTTATATATCACTATTTCTCTCTCTTTTTTTTTTTTTTTTTTGAGTTGAACTCTGACTCTGTCGCCCAGACTGGAGTGCAGTGGCCGCTCCCGGCCACCACAGCCTCAACCTGCTGGGCTCTGGCGATCCTTCTACCTCAGCCTTCCAAGTAGCCGGAATTACAGGCATGCGCTACCACGCCCGGCTGATATTTTGATTTATTGTAGAGATGAGGTCTCGCTGCCCAGGTGGGTCTCGAACCCGCGGGTTCAGGAAGTCCACTCACCTCAGCCTCTCAAAGGTGCAGGATTATAGGCTGAGCCACCGAGCCCGGCTCCAGATACTTTCATATATGATTATCCATGACTAGTCTATCAAAAGAACATAGTAATAATATGGATGTGTGAAATCTATAGTTTCATTCTACTAATGTGAACAAGCACCTGCCACATGCAAGTTGTTCATGGGTCATGGTAGGGGCAGGTGGGATCCAAAGATGTGTCAATTCTGGATACATCTTTAACAGAACTTTAAATCTCACATTGATTATTGGTTATCAGTTGCTTCCCTATACAATGTTTCATCAAAGTATCAAACGCTGACATTGAATGAATTTGTATAAACTTTCAATGTTGATATTTAGGGATAGCAAAATGACTGATAGCAACAAAGGAAGGATTTTTTAAAAGTCCAAAGCCTGGATAACCCAATGATGGTCATCTCTGAAAAATAGAGATTTGGCTACATTCAGAGAAAACAAGGTCTGAGGCATCAGCCTGAGAGCTAAAAGAAAAACTGGTAGAGATCTTTAATTGCAAGTGAAAGAAGCCACCTAGTGGTTTGTTTCATAAGCTAAAGTTGTACCAACATATGACACAGCTCATCCGTGGACTGTGTAGGTCTCTAATCAAGTGTGACTAAGAATCTGGTCCAGAAAGCAGGGTCATGTTCATTGAGGATAAGCACAGTGCGGCTCTGTCTACCATTTTACTTATTTATACCATCATCTTTTTTTTTTTTTGAGTTGGAGTCTCACTGTGTCACCCAGACTGGAGTGCAGGGGCGTGTTCACAACCACTGCAGCTTGACCTGCTGGGCTCAGTTGATCCTTCCACCTCAGCTTTCCAAACTGCTGTAGCCACAGGTGCATACCACCCACCCAGCTAATTTTTTGATTTCTTGTATAGACAAGGGCTTACCAAGTTGCCCAGGTTGGTCTTGAACCCTTGGACTCAGGCAGTCCTCTCACCTCGGTCTCCCAAAGTGCTGGGATTACAGGCTTGAGCCACCTCGCCTGGACCTTTTTAAAAATATCTCAAAGGAGTTAAGACAACCTACACGAAAGTATTGTGAGATAACACAAACCAGAAAAAGATTAGAAAGAGAAAAACAATGAATAAAGACATAAAAAGCCAGAAATGGTAGTGATTCAAAAGTGTTTGCTAAATCTGGTGTGTTTTCTATGACAGGACTCTACGTTTTCAGATACGAGTGGAAATTGATCACTTATAAAATTCATGCTGTCCAGAAAGATGAAACAATTTCTAGGAAAAGTAAAACCATATCTGATGCTTAGAGCAGAGAAATTGTTCTTCTGGAGGTCCTCACAGATAGGATGCTGCCTAATGTAAGGTATCATGTCCTCCATCCTCAGAGTAGAAACAACTCTGAGTCTCGGAGGATTGTTTCTTAACTGTGCCCACACTGATTTGGAGGCACACACATACTCCATGTTCAGGACTTGCAGTAACTTATTTCATGCTCACAATAAGCCAGTGAGCTAGGTAGTTTTGTTATAACCATATGGCAGGTGAGGCGAGTGAGGTTAAGAACTTCCCCAAAGTCAGGCTGTTAGCAAATAGCAGCGTTGGGATCCAACCCCAAACAGTCAGGCTCAGCACCCATGGTCTTTTCCAATATACTATACCGAGTGGACGTTGAAGTTCAATATGGCCCATTCACTGAAAACAACAGTACTTTGAGTTTTTTCCTACAGTTTATACAGTCTGTGGGGATGCGATAGGTATGCTTTAACACAATGCTAAAGATGAGACCGGGGTTGCATGTTTCTGAGATGATTTAGTTGACGGTGCTCTCTTCCAAGGTCACAGACTTTGTTCTTGACCCTAATCAACGATCACTTGTGCACATGCTTGCGCACACATGCCTTTGGTCAAAAAAAGAGGACCATGGCCAGACATAGTGGCTCACGCCTATAATCCCAGCACTTTGGGAGGCTGAGGCAGGAGGATCACTTGAGGTTAGGAGTTTGAAACCAGCCTGGGCAACATAATGAGACCTCCGCCTCCACATAAAAATTAAAAAAAATTAGGTGGGTGTGGTAGTACATGCCTGTAGTCCTAGGCCCAGCTACTCAGGAAACTGAGGCAGGAGGATTGCTTGAGCCTAGCAATTTGAGGCTGTAATGAGCGATGATCATGCTACTGTACTCCGGCCTGGGCGACAGAGCAAGAGACCCTGTTTCTAAAAGAAAAAGAAAATAAATAAATAAAGAGGAGCAGGAAAGAGTACTCAAACTCACTACTTATTGACTTCTAGAAAGTAGCTGAAAGCCCATGCCCTGTTGATGGCATATCCTCAGGTACAAGATCTCAACTGCAGTCATAACAAAACACACTTTGTTTTGCTAGCTTTTCTTGTTCAAAGTGGTATCTATACATTTTTATGAATGGCAGCTAAATTGGTTTTTCTTAACCAGTCATGAGTTGATTTGCAACAAGCAAGACAAGGCTTGAAAGAAACTTAGTAGGGAAATAATGGCATCATTGAAACATTTTCAGTTAGAGGTGTCAACACATCATATAACTTGAGTCCTAAATTGAGCATTTAGACTGATGTTCTTTTAAGCTATGCATTAGGGTAGTCGTGTGGTTAATGTCATTGCTGAGAAAGAGTAAAAGGTATACCCTCTAAAATGATTGTTTTATAGTGACAAGCCTCCTTAAAAACAAATTCCTTAACATTTTAAAGGGATCTCAGTGAAGATTCAATTGCTCCTAAAAGGTTTGAATTCTGTACTGGGACTCACATGATGGCCTACTGCACATAAGACTGATAAAGAACTTTCCAGAATGATAACCTTTAGTTGTTGTATTCTTGACAGAGTCATCCTATCAAGGGAATATAAATAAAAAAGAGTGGTGCAGAGATGGGGTGAAGGAAACACTGATTAGGAACCAAGAAACTTGGGATTTTCAGGTCTATGTTATTCTGGTCACGAAGGGAGACAGATTCTTTGTGTGCCAGTGTCTCATGAATTTTGGAGCCAGACTTGGGTTCAGACACCCATTTCAATACCTACTAGCAGAGGACACTGGATTAGTCAATGAAGCTCTCTGGGTCTCAGTTTCTTTATTTATCAAATGGCCTTAATAACACATAGATATAGCCAGACTTGGTGACTCAGTGTGTAATCCCAGCACTTTGGGAGGCCGAGGTGAGTGGATTGCCTGAGCCCGCGGGTACGAGACCTGCCTGGGCAACTTGGCGAGGCCTCATCTCTACAATAAATCAAAAAAAAAATTAGCCGGCCTGTTAGTGCGCGCCTATAGTTCCAGCTACTTGGAAGGCTGAGGTGGAAGGATCGCCAGAGCCCAGCAGGTTAAGGCTGCGGTGGCCGGCCAGGAGCGGCCACTGCACTCCAGTCTGGGCGACAGAGTGAGACTTCAACTCAAAAACAAACAAACAAACAAACACATAGATAGTATTAGGCACTCACTGTGTACAGGCATTGTGCTTTGGGTATGCCTTCAATATTTATAACACTCTTCAATGGAATACTTACCCTTGATGATCCTACTTTACAGGTGAGATCACTAAGTGGAGAGAGTATGTGATATGGAGAGTTTAAGAAAGATCATTTACACAAAGTGCCATCTCCCCTGGTACAGAGAGAGCAGCTTCTCTGGGAATGGTAGCTGCTGGTATTCCTACTGACTTTATCTCATCCATTTCCTGTACTTCTTTTAGGCATGCTTTGAAGATTAATGAAAGAGGAGAACCATGTGTTTGAGCTTAGGAATGAGACAGAGGTTTAGGCCAAAGGGTGTAAATAACACAGAATTTTTATTCTCCTGCAG